TTGAGAGGCTAGATTAAAAAAACTTGGGTATTTCTTTAGTATTTTGTTGTGACTTGGGAAATCATTTTGTATTTGGCTAGATGTGCCTTTTGTGATGAGGTGGAGGAAAATGCTATTCACCTATAAACATTGTAAAGTGGCTTTTAGAATTTGAAAATAACGTTTCATGGTAGGGGATTGAGTTTACCATTGCAAGATGCTATTCTAATGCATTTCATCAACATGGGCACATTTTCACCCATTCCTAAAAAGGTAAATAGTGGTGCAGATATTGTTTAGCTTGCTGTTATCTCAACTCATTGGATTTTTAAGAATAACAAGTTGTTCAAAGATATTGAGTTTGATGAGAATAGAATGTTTGATATCATTTAGGTGTTGCATTGGTTGATAAACCCAGTGGAGGAGAAGAAGACGTGCTGTTATATTGTTAAGGAGTGGGAAGTTATTGTGTTCTTAATTATGAATGAACCTTAATGTTTTTGTTAAGGTTTTGAGTAACCTTTGTCTTTGGATTCAATATAATAAATAAATAAATAGTTTATTGCTATTCAAGAAAAAAAAAGTTATTAATTTGTTTTGTATCATAGAGTAGTACAAGTTGTAAGCACTCTTTATTATTAACAAAATTTCATCATATTTGATATTATTTACCTCTTTTTGTTTGTCATTACTCTACTATCTATACAACTTGATTGAACTAAAGTATTGCCTATCACTGGTACTATAAAAACAGAAAAACAGAAGCATGAAATATATTTACAAACAACTATTAATGAAGAGAAGAGTTTTTTAAGCATGAAAATTTGATCAGAATTCTAAATTATTTTGAAACAACTTAATTGAATGGATTAATAGTATTTCTTTTTAAAAGAGCATGAATCAAAGGTAGTTAATAATATTCACCAGTTCTTTTCAAATCTAATTAGTTTGATTATATCACTATAATCATTATAAATTTTGGATATATTTGGTCAGAGCGTTACTTTATTAGAAAAGTTTTTGTTTGGAAAGTGATTAGAAAAGTACTGTACAGAAAATTTTATAATATTGTATAAAATATTGTTAAGTTTTATAATGAAGTTTTGTTAGAATTTTGTTGTGTTATTAATTTTTTTGTGTTTGACAAGAAATTGATAAAAGGAAAGTTGGTAAGGAAAGTTGTTAAGTATGCCCAATATAAGGATAGTTATAGAAAAGTATTTTTCTTGCAAAATTGGTGAGAAGAAAACTTTACAGATTGAGAATTGTATTAGAGAAAATAAATATCAAAAGTATCACTTTTACTTCTTTTTTTTTTTTTTTTTGGTACTAAGCTCTCGTTATCCGGTAACCACATTGGGTCCGACTAATCCGGCATCAAACCATGTCGGATCCCATTTGGAGGGAAGTTTTCTCAATGCTTGTTTCTCCATTTATAAGACTTGAACTCGAGATCTTACTTAAAGGAACTAAACTTCTTCCACTCGTATTAACAGGTCGTTGGTACTTTTACTCTTATTTTATTGTAGTATTAATGTGTGAAAATATATAAATAATCTTATAATAGAGAAAGTTTAGAGAACTTTAAGACAAAAGTTTACCCCGACCAAACATCCCCCATGGTTCTAAATTTTGTTAAATGAACTTTAAGAACAAGAAATGATAATTAAGATGAATACCAAATAATACAATTGAAAAGAAAGGGGAAAAAGAAAAACTTGCTTAACTGATCTAAACTAAGATTTTGAGTCCCTTATAATGAAACAGAGGAAGAAAAACAAAGCTTAAATGTTGACGACCAAAAGAAAAGAAAAGAAAAAAAGGTGAGGGGGTCTTAAATGTGGAGGAGTAATGGAATGTTAAACATGGGAAAAGAAAGGGAAATAAATTGAAGAAGGCGGGAATAAGATTTTGAGTGGAGACTTTCCAGTTCTCCGTTAACGACGATAACGCATAATAATTTCAGATTAAATACTCTCTCCCATTTCATCGATGAGCTGTATCTGTGATGTTGAGATGATATCTTTTTATGAGCAATGCTAGGGGCACTCGCCTTTTGCACTCTCCGACCAACACTTCCCTTTTCATTGGACCACATAAGCTCATTTCGAGATTTGCTGGCAACCTCTTACCAACCAGAATAACGTGGCCCAATAAAAGTGAAAGTGTTGGCCGGAGAGTGCAGGAGGTGAGTGCCCCTAGCACTCTTCTCTTTTTATTGGTTTAGGATACCATCATAATATTCTAGGCTTTCACCAATAGAAGGCACTCACGTAATAAGCAGCCCCTAAGTGAAAAAGGAGCAAAAACGCAAAAAAGCCAAAAAGATAAAGCACAAAATGTGAGTAAAGTACAAATTAAAGACAATAAAATAGAAATAAAAATTTGTTTAAACTAAATCTTTAAAATATAAATATTAGATAAAAGGATAGTAAATATATATTTTTTATAATTAATTTATATAAAATTATAAAAATTAATATTTATTTTAATATTATTAATATGTAAGTAATTTTAATTAATTAATTTAAAAT